CATTTAAACAAACATCTATTTTTCACTTTATGTTTCCGTGTGGGAGCAAACTGTTGAAATCTTTACTTAATGTATGTTAAACTGATCTTCTGTATATAAAGAGAATCGAAAATGAATCTTGATGTGAATGGAAGGGGAGAGGGAGTGGGAAAGGGGAGGGTTGCGGGTGGGAGGGATGTTATGGGGGGGAAGCCATTGTAATCCATAAGCTGTACTTTGGAAATTTATATTCATTAAATAAAAGTTAAAAATAAATAAATAAATGTCAGTTAATTCATGCTACATTATGTGGCAGTTAACAAGATCAACATGTGTTGCCCTTGGAGAATACTCACATGATATTGCTAAGTAACAAGAGCAAAATGTAGGGCAATATATGAGACTATGGCTGCATTTTCATTATGACATAAAGGGTCGAAAGACAATCTTTGGATTAAGGCTGATTTCTGGGGTTGAGAGGTAGATTATAGATTGTTGAGAGAAGAAAGACAGTGGGAAGGGAAGACCAAAACAATATGGAAAGATGCAGCTAATACATATTTTGCTCCCCAATATTTGGTTCTCCTCACTTTTTGTGTCCATGAAATCCTGAACTGCTTTGCATTCTTGTTGAGTGGAATGTTGGGAGTCATTCTGAAATATCAGTGGTGAACAGAAGAACAATGTGGCACTTCTGGGACACAGCACTTAACTGCCAACTAGAAACCTCCAAAATCCCTTTTCCAATGGCTGCAATGATTATGACAATGCAGTTGACACAGAGCTTCCATCCCTGGGTTTCTGAGTGACTACAGAAGTATAGAAACCATACTTCCGACCAGCGCTGCAGCTCAATAGACTAATCCTCCTCCCACGGCACCAGCACACTGGGTTCCAGTCCCAGTCAGGGCGCCGGATTCTGTCCTGGTTGCCCCTCTTCCAGTCCAGCTCTCTGCTGTGGCCCAGCTGTGCAGTGGAGGATGGCCCGGGTCCTTGGGCCCTGCACCCGCATGGGAGACCAGGAGAGGCACCTGGCTCCTGGCTTCGGATCAGTGCAGTGCGCCTGCCGCAGCAGCCGTTGCAGGGTGAACCAATGGAAAAAGGAGGACCTTTCTCTCTGTCTCTCTCTCTCTATGTCCACTCTACCTGTCAAAAAAAAAATTTTTTTTAAAAAAAGAAACCAGACTTCTGCTAACCTACGTTAGCACCTGAAACACATATAGGAAATATACTGTGCTTGCATTTTGCTATTAAAATTTTTTAGTTTGTCACTGTGACATAACTTAGTCTATCCAAACAATAATACAAATGTTTTTATACATGTTTTAAATTTCATACAAGCACATAGTTTAAAATTTTTAATAGCGCCAAAAAGCTGTAATAAAAAAATAAAGACTGTTTCCTCACTGTTACCAAAACCAGCTCTATTCCCCAGAAGAAACTAACTTCATACATTTAGCAAATTTTATCATACTCAATTCTGTAACACTAAACAATGTGCTTCCATTGCGATTCCTTAGTGTTTGAACTTTTTTAAAAACTTATTTTTTAATTCCATTTTTCTTTTGCAATACTTACTTGTAAGGAAGAATGACAGAGAAAGGGAGAGACAGAGAAAGAGAGATCTTCCATCCACTGGTTCATTCCAAATGGCCACAAGAAACAGGCAGGGCCAATGAAGCCAGGATCCTGAACTCCGTCCAGGTCTCCAACCTGGGTAGCATGGGCCATTATGCTGCCTTCCATGGCACATTAACAGAAAGCTGGATCAGAAGCAGAGTAGTCAGGAATTGAATCAGCACTCTAATATGGGCTACTGGCCTCCATAGGTGGCAGCTTAACCTGCTGTGTTACAATGTCAGTTCCTTAGTGTATAAATTTTAAACACTGCTCCTTAATATTCCAAAACAGGAAGGCTATATTATACTACAACTACCACTCTACACCACCATCAATAACAACCTTACTTCACTTACCCCATCTTCCTAATATAATCTTATCAAACTTTTGGTTAAAATAATCAACTAGTGAGGGATGTTTAGCCTACCAGTTAAGGTATCTGCATCTCATATTGGAGTGCCTGAGATCAATTGAACCAATTGAAGTTATTTGAAATTATCTGTTTCGTCCTCTTTTCTGTCTCCTTACCTTTCCAATAAATGAATAAATAAACATTTTTAGAAATTACTTGGTGGGGGGGAGAGAGAGAGAGAAGAGTATACTCATTCTAGTGGATAAGACATCTACATTCCATATCATAGAGCCTGGATTTGATTCCCATTTCTGGCTCCTAACTCCAGCTTCTTGCTAATGTAGATCCTAGGAGGCAGCAGTAATGGCTCAAGTAGGTGAGTTCCTACCACTTATGTGGCAGAGCAGGATTGCATTCCAGCTCCTGTCTGCACCCCAGCCCTAGCTATTGCAGGCATTTGGGGAACAAACCAGCAGATAAGGGAAACTTCTTTCCCTCTCCCTCTGCCTCACCCTCACCCTTGCCCTCTCTCTTTACCTCCCTCCCTTCCTCTCTCCCTTCCTCTCTCAAACAATAAAAGTAAATAAATTTTTAAATGACCACTTGACTCCCTTTTTCAGCCTAGACACTCAGTCCTGCCGTTCCTCTCTCCCTAAATCAAGAACCAATCAGATTTTACTGTCTGCAGAGAATAAACCAGCAGGCTTCCACATTAATAGAAGAGGAGTACTCATCAATGCTCCAAGTAGAGTAAAGACCTGGGACTTACCTTCATATACAAATTTTTGACTGAATGCCCAGTTTTTAGCTGCCACTGACCTTTGCATCCATTGAGGTGCCTCCAGCTTCTGAGCCTTTCTAGATTTTTAAAGGGAAATCCTGCTCTCCTACAATATCCCTTCTTTAGACAATTTAGCAGCATAGTTCTTTTATATATGTGACTACCCCAGTGTGTACTTCCTAGCATCCAAAAACATGTTGACACATCTCACCTACTGCCACCTTCTTCTTCTGTCCTGTCTCCTCTGGAGTTTATACTGGTTTTATTGTCTTACCGGTGTTTTAGTAGAGTTTTGAAAGGGAACAAATACAAACACTGGTCTTAACTTCTGCCATATTCACCCAGAAGACAAATATACACAATTTGAAATAAAATAATTAAAATTAAAAAAAGAGGCCAACTCTGTGGCCTAGTGGGCTGAGCTTCCTCCTGTGGCACCTGCATCCCATATGGGTACCAGTTAGAATCTCAGCTGCTCGGAAGTTTCCGACGGAGGATTCCTGAGCGGTGTCGAGGAACACTCCAGAAAGGCTTATCTCTGCGAGCGTTCCTGCTCCCCATCAACACCTCAGCAAGAGGCACCAAATGTCATCTGAAATGTCACCAGCGTTTATCGAGACTTCTAATGTTGAAAGAAAGGAAGACTTAGGTGAAGGTCAAGAGGAGAGCCAGAAGCCAGAAGGTGAAGGGGTTGAACCAATATCTAAATGACAAATGAAGAAGCTAATAAAACAGAAACAGTGGGAGGAACAACGAGAACTCCGCAAACAAAAGCTGAAAGAAAAACGCAAGAGAAAAAAATTAGAGCGACAATGTCAACTGGACTCAAACTCAGATGGAAATGACAGAAAACGTGTGCGAAAACATGCTGTTCACAGCACACTCCGCCTTGTCATTGACTGCAGTTTTGATGACTTGATGGTATTAAAGGATATTAAAAAACTTCATAAGCAGATTCAACGATGTTATGCAGAAAACCGACGTGCACTGCATCCTGTGCAGTTTTACTTGACAAGCCATGGAGGCCAGCTGAAAAAGAATATGGATGAAAGTGACAAAGGATGGGTCAACTGGAAGGATATCAACATCAAATCAGAGCACTATACTGAACTCATTAAAAAAGAAGACTTGATTTATCTGACATCAGACTCACCTAATGTACTGGAGGAATTAGATGAATCAAAGGCTTATGTGATTGGAGGATTAGTAGATCACAACCATCACAAGGGAATCACATATAAACAAGCATCAGATTATGGAATTGACCATGCACATTTCCCCCTTGGAAATTTTGTGAAGATGAATAGTAGAAAAGTTTTGGCTGTTAATCATGTGTTTGAGATTATTCTGGAATACCTAGAAAGAAGAGATTGGCAAGAAGCATTTTGCACCATTTTACCCCAATGGAAAGGAGCTGTTCCTACAGACAGAACCTGTGAAAGTTCTCGGGAAGAGCAGTCTGCCCAGGTTGAAGATGGATCAGACAGTGATTCCAGTGAGGGGGAGGACAGCAGAAATGAAGCAGATTCACCACATGCAGAAGAAAAGCAGGATAAGGAAAACAGCACTGAATCTACAGTGAGTGCGATATCACACTAATGTTACCTGTTATTTTAGGTCAGGGAAAAATTAGGAGAAAGTAAAGTGCTTCCTATCCTAGGATATTCAGATTGGAAGAAAATTTATCCATTGAAGGATAGTAAAATGTTCTTTAAACTCTGTAAGAAAGACATTTTTGTTTTTGCAAAAGAAGAATTAAATACACAGGTTTTTCTTTTTTATAATTTTTTTAAAGCTTCCCAAGTTTCTAGAGAATCGTATGTGGTTAGCATGCCTTAATTCTCTTTCATTTACTGGATTGCAGTCTTCCGAATGTTCCTTCTGACCTTTGAGTTTTCCTAGTTCATGTTCATATCTTTGTCTTTCTGATCTGTTGTTCCTTATTTGTGGGGGCAGGTACTCACACATATCCTGCAAGTTTACCAGGATCTTGTGTAGGGGAGGTTACCCTCCACGTGCAGGTTTTTTATTTACTTTAGTCTTGAAAAAGAAAGTGTTTTAAGAAGTATCAGCTTGATAGACTCAACAATTCATTTCGTTTGGACTATAGAACCCATATGTGTTTCTTCTTTGTGATGCCTTCTCTTGGTTTTGAAGTAATCATTGAAGAGTTGAGAATCTCTTTAATACCTCTTTTGCATTTCTATTATGGTGATAAATTATTTTAATTACAAAATTGAATTTTTGCAAGCTAGATTATTTTATAAGGCTGCTACTTTTGAGGGATCAATTTTGTCTTTACCTGAATTTAAAATGAAATAGCTCTTAGCAGCTAACATTTCTTTTTATAGATTTTTTTTTACAACAAAGTATTTGTTGGCTCTTAAAGTGAATAAAGCTTAAGTGTGCTTCAGCCTCTTATATAATAATATTTAAATTAATGTACATGTATATTTCTTAAATAATGACACACATGAAAATATGCATATTATTGTATTCACATATTTCCATATCATGTATGGTTCTTAGTTATTGGTGGATAATAGGATTGATTTGTATCATTTATGTGAGCAGTTGTGTTGAAAGCACTGAGACCAATTTGAATTTCATTAAGTCCAAAAATTCCTAAATAAGCATTTGCATGGAAAGATTGTGCTGGAGGATGTAGCAAAAGGGTGCTGTTTCGGGGCCAGCATTGTGGCACAGAGGGTAAAACCGCCTCCTGTGAGGCTGGCATCCCATATGGGCACCAGTTCATATCCTAGCTGCTCCACTTCTGATACAGGTCCCTGCTAATGGCCTGGGAAAAGCAGTGGAAGATGGCCCGAGTATTTGGGCCCCTGCCACCCATGTGGGAAACCCAGATGAAACTCCTAGCTCTTGACTTCAGCCTGCCCAGGGCTGACTGTTATGGCCATCTGAGGAGTGAACATGTGAATGGAAGACCTCTCTCTCTATTTCATTGTAACTCCGACTTTCAAAAAACAAAATAAATAAATTAAAAAAAAAAAAAAGAATCTCAGCTGCTCCTCTTCTGATCCCACTCTCTACTATGGCCTGGGAAATCAGTGGAAGATGGCCCAAGTCCTTGGGCCCCTGCACACAAGTGGGAGACCTGGAATTAGCTCCTGACTCCTGGCTTCGGATCAGCACAGCTCTGGCCATTGTAGCCATTTGGGGAGTCAACCAGCCAATGGAAGACCTTTTTCTCTGTCTCTCCCTCTCTCTGTCTGTAACTGTCTCTCAAATAAGTAAATAAATTAAAAAAAAAAAAATTCAAGCTCCTTACGGACTGGCCTCATACAACTGTGACCACAGCACCTCTTACTTAAAACAGCAAATGAAAGTTTGCAGGTTAAATATGCACTCAAAGTGTACTGACATTTCAAAAATGGAAACAAAGGGTTTCTCATTTACTGGAGGCATTTACAGTAAATTTGACCAGATCCTTCTTCCACTCATTTTTGTATTTGTTTTTGACTAGGATAAAAAAAAGAACATTTTGTTTAGTCTTTTCATTTTGTTTATGGGTGGGAAATGGAAAAGGGGTCCCGTTACCATTATTCACGTGGGTTTAAGTGGCCTGGGAACCCATGCCCGTGTCCTGCCAAACCCGCAGCCTGCAACTCACAAAGCACGATGCTGACTTTTTTCCATGTATCCAATCCAGATAAATGCATGATATGCTAAAGATGCTCAAGCTAAACTGTTTTAAAGGGCAGTGGTGAAAGAAGAAGGGCACATTTCTCCACGAGCTGTTTGCCCCTTTTACCACAACACTGGCTTCTTCCCAGTCTGACACTGGGCTCAACAGATGGAAGAATGTGGTTTCAAGTTCACTGAGTTAATTGCACTTCTCTTTATTCACAGCCCTCAGATTTAGATATCAGAGATGCCTAAACCCTTCAACTAAATAAACAACCCAGTTATTGCTGGAGGAGCATCTCTGAGTGATGTCTAAGAAATGGGTCTATCCATTATATGCCAACTTTACCACACAATCACTTTGTAGATGATTTTCTTCTTAGAGTACTTTTCACTAGGGGTTTAGCTTATTACAAGATGTGTAATCTCAGTTATTTAACTACTTTTCAAGAGTCAGTAAACAAAGATCTTTCCAAGGAAATTTATAATAGGAACATTCTTAGGCTTATAATTAAAATTCATAAAAACAAAATGCACACACACCCAGCCATTTCTCCCTCAGCTCTAACTTTGCTCACAGGTAACCAGGTTTTTTTTTTTTTTTTCATTATCACAATCTTAAAGAATGTCAAGAATAAGTAAATCATCTTCTATTAAATATTCAACATAGATTTTATAAAGGCCACCACTGTGGGTAAAAGGGTTTTTTCATGAAATTTGTTTCAACTCCAACTCAATAAGGGAATAAGAACCTAGAATTTGTTTACTATCTACCTTGTGCCAGAACTTTGCTATGGTCATTCAGGTACACAACCTCATTTAATCTTTACAGCAACCCAGTAGGACAGGTATTATTATACTCATTTCAAAGATGGTAAAACTGACACCTGTTTCTCAGTTAATATATAGGCTCTATCCAGAATTTGAACTGAATTTACACATCCCAAAGGACTTCCAATATCTCTTCCCTAAAATTTCAGGCATTTTTATTGAGGCAGAGTTATGGGAAGGGGAGGGAGGAAGGGAGGGAGGGTGAGGGCGAGGGTGAGGGCAGAGAGAGAGAGAGAGAGAGAGAGAGAGAGAGAGAGATCCTCCATCTTGGCTGCAACATTGGGATCTAAGACCTAGTTAGGAAGTGGGGTTGACTGGCATTTAGATAGAAATCAATTTAAGTTTTCATATTAAGGAAAAAAGTACTAAATACTCAAATATTATATTTTAACCTTGGAAAGGACCATTTTAAACAAATTGATACAGCGAAGTTTTAGCCCTCTTCTTAACTAGATCCTTGTTCACTGATTGATAAATTCAAAATGTTTTCATACATAAGTTTAAAGACATCCATTACACTCATTATGTAACTTTCTGTTCTCTGCTTGAATAATTCTAATGACAGGGTACTCATTGCTTTGGGAGGGGAGAAATGGGTAAATTAATACTTAAAATTACCATATCAGGTTAAAGAATAAAGTATTCCAACAAAGATCTTAAAGAAAATAAGTTTCACGAATTCCATCACTTTATGTGGATGCTAGGTTTCTTGGGATTGACTAAGCCTTTATAGCCTGCAAACCATTTTTTTCAAACCATGGAATAGAATGGTTCATAAAACTCTTAGGATCCCATAAACAATCAGCATCTGCTGTTTCTTTCTTTCTTTTTTATTTTTTTTGACAGCATCTGCTGTTTTAATGCATTCTTTAGTTCAATTAGTATGCAATCAATGTGACAATATAATGTGTGGCATGAAAACTAGAGCAAATGAAAGAAAGATAGCTTTTACAGGAGTGTCTATCAACAGCAAAAAAAAAGTTTACTTACATTATTTTTCCTATTACATGAAATAAATAGGATGTACTCTTAGAAAACATCAGCTAAAGTATGTTCTGTTTAAATTGGCTGTGTTTAAAGAAAGGAAAATAAAATTTCTGTTCTAGTGTCATTTTTATAAAATATCTTTTTTGAAGTTTAAAAGGCAAATCTTGAGTGAAAGCTCTCCCTTGATGGTTTTCTTCCAGAAATCAATAGCCCAGCTGAATGGAGCGTAATGTGAGCCAGGGAGAAGAGCAGTGCTGAAAGGGATGTCAAGGATAGCAAGGGACATCAGACATTAAACAAAAATCAGAAACAGATAGAAATGAGGATAGTAATCCATCAACACTGATCTTTGTTTTATTTATTTTAATATTATTTGAAAGGCAGTGAGACAGAAAATGGGAGATCTTCCAGTCCCTCATTGACTCTCCAAGTGCCCCAACAGCTGAACCTGGGCCAGGCTTGAGATAGGCCAAAACTTAATTCAGATCTCCCAAATGGGTGGCAGGGACCAAAGTACTTGAACTATCACCTGCTCCCTCCGAAAGTATACATTAGCAAAATGCTGGATTGGAATCAGAGCCAGGACCCAACCCCTGCACTTCAATGTGGTATGTGAGCATCCCAAGAGACATCTTAACCACTGAACCAAATGTCTGCCCCTCAAAACTGGTCTTTGAATCTCTTCTTCTCTACCCCCACAAATGCTACTCTTGCTTTTCATGATATACAGCTCACGAAAACTGTACAGTCTTCTAACACAATGAATCTGGGTGTTCTTTCAAAAGAAAATAGTAAGAAATTTTGCTTAAATATTTTTAAGTCCCAACATACCACAATTACATAAATGTGCCCCCATCAACTTTAAGTAGCATAAAACTGGGGACACAAGGAAGTTGTAACACATGTCTGAGTCTCATCATTGTTTTAGAACTCCAAAACCTGTGTTTGCTCTCCTGACACACAGCAAGCCAATCACTGACACTCGTGCAGTGAAAGAAAATAGATGTTTATCTTGTAATACATAGCACAAAGATTCCAGCAGCCTTGGCTGAATTCTAGGACTCCCTGAGGGCTTAAGGATGGTGAATTGTGTAGATCAGATTTAGTATTGACCAATATATGGTCAGTTCACGTGCAGATATCCAGTTAGTTCACAATATCCATAGCCTTTCCTTGGTCAATGATAGTGACACTGATATGTTCTACTGAGAATTCAGTGATAGCAAAGTGTGCTCCAGTAGTCTGGGCTCTATAGGTAGGTGACTACTGCCCTCTTTAATTATGCCTGGGGTTCCTTACAAGCATCTCCAAATGGATTTTAGTGTTAAGACATTAATTATAGAGATGATAATTAAATGCTGAGTCTTTTGATATGGCATCTCATGAGACTAGCCTTACACATGCACCATTTTCTTAATTTAGTGAGTAAATCTTTAATAAGGAGATTAATCATCAAACTGAAGACAGAGAAACTGCAAGATAAAGGAAAGTTACCAAGGCTTGATGAACTATACATCAAAGGTATTAGGGAAAGGGGCTCATTATCATACTCATGGGCAGAAATGAAAATAGTAGCTATCAGTATTTAGTACACACTTTTTTTTTTTTTTGACAGAGTTAGACAGTGAGAGAGACAGAGAGAAAGGTCTTCCTTTCATTGGTTCACCCCCCCAAATGGCTGCCACGGCCAGCGAGCTGTGGCCGGCACACTGTGCCAATCCAAAGCCAGGAGCCAGGTGCTTCCTTTTTACCAGTCTATTTCATATACATTAACATCAATCCTCACAACAACTGGGCAGAGGGGCTGTTTTATTCCTCCTTTGAAGAGAAATCAATTGTACTTAACAAGAAACAAAACAGCTGTTAGAACGCCAAAAAGAGGGGCCAGCACCATGGCTCACTTGGTTGGTCTTCCACCTGTGGCGTCGGCTTCCCATGTGGGCGCCGGGTTCTAGTCCCGGTTGCTCCTGTTCCACTCCAGCTCTCTGCTGTGGCTCGAGAGGGCAGCGAAGGATGGCCCAAGTGTTTGGGCTCCTGCACCCACATGGGAGACCAGGAAGAAGTACCTGGCTTCGGATTGGCACAGCGCCAGCCGTAGTGGCCATTTGGGGAGTGAACCAATGGAAGGAAGACCTTTCTCTCTGTCTCTCTCTCACACACTGTCTATAATTCTACCTGTCAAATAAAAAAAAAAGAAAAATATTCAAATTTTTAAACTTCTCAAAGACCATGCATTTTCCAGTACACCTGACTGTGATTAAAGCTTTTAGATTAAGTTAGCATTGTAGCACAGCAGGTTAGGCTGCTGCCTGCAATGCAGGCATCCCATATGAGTGCCAGTTCGAGTCCTGGCTGCTCCATTTCCAATACAGTTTCTTGCTAATGCACCAAGGAAAGCAGCAGAAGATAGCCCAAGTACTTGGGCCTCTGTACCCACCTGGTAGATCCAGATGGAGTTCCAGGCTTCTGTCTTCAGCCTGGACCAGCCCGGCTATTGCAGCCATTAGGGGAGTGAACCAGCAGATGGATATTTCTCTCTCTC